TTTTACGGAGGACGTGTTGGTCCCTTGATGCCTGAGGCGTTGACGGAATGATGGCCGGAAAACCACTAAACGCGTCGACGCGCGACGCCCTTCGGACGAATTGATAGATCGAACCCTCCGCCCGGCAGGAAAGCACCTGCACCTGTCGCAAGAGCGTCACATCGGTCTTACCCCTATCTCTCTGAGTTGAATAGATTCTCAATATCTACGATATGTTCTAATAGAGTTTCAAAATCCTATCTTTACCACAATCAATCCAGAATGGCAAAAGGACCGCCCGCATCCTCATCCCCGGCCGCAACGCCTCCCTCCGGAGTGCTCAAACGAACTACTTCTAGCACCCAGAACATGAAGAACCAGAAGTCAATTCTAGGTTTCTTCCAAAAGTCATCCCCGTCGACTCCATCTACTGCTCGCAATGCCGAACCAGCTTCGTCACCTGCCCAGAGGGTATCGGAGCAGCGCGGGGCTGCTAGAGGGTCCGTCAAGAGCGACAAGAAGAAGAGTCTCCCACAGCTCTCGGACCTTAGCCCAGTACCGAGTAGTGATCTGGTTGAGCCCGAGGAAGATGAAAGCCATATTCAGGTATGATTAGTGCTTTGGCACGATCCCACATTTGACGCCGACGGAGCTTCGCTCACTGGATTGGCAGGCGACTTCTAATGACGCTAAGACCGATTCCCCATCTCGACGGGTAAGACACCATGCCCCCAAGGCTTCTGTATCATAGTGTATACTGATTGCCTGTAGTCTAAAAAGCAGGTCAACTACTTCGAGTCCGATTCAGAAGGCGAGGATGACGACGAAAAGATATTCCGTCCAGGCCGGAAAAGTAGCAAAGTATCTAAGCGAAGAAAGTTGTCTCCCGAGAGCGATGATGAATTTGAACAAGGTGGAGATGATGTCGGCTACTCGGATGAAGGTGAGTTATTGGTCTCATAAGTCTTCGTTGCAGTTTGACAGGCATTGACTGTTTCAGATATGGATGATTTTATTGTCGCGGATGACTCAGATGAGGACGTGAAGGCCTCAAAGAAACGCAAGAGGCCAACTCAACCGAAGCCCAAGTCTTCTTCTATACCTCCAGATCCATCCTTGGAGGAAGATCTAGACTTGGACATTCCAGATGCGTCCTCTGGCTCGGCGGTGAAATGGACGTACGATCCGAACCGTGCTGAGCCTCGTCAGAACCGAACAGCCCCCGTGAAGTCGAAGAGCCCATCTAGTGGAATCAAACAGAAAGCTCATGTTACAGAGCCAGAGCAACGCTATGCCTGGCTGGCAAATATTCGGGATATAGATGGCCATTCCCCCGGCCACCCTGACTACGACCCTCGTACCCTTTATATACCCCCACTGGCCTGGGCCAAATTTTCACCCTTCGAAAAACAGTACTGGGAGATCAAGCAGAAGTTCTGGGACACGGTCGTATTCTTTAAGAAGGGAAAGTTTTATGAGCTTTATGAAAATGACGCCACCATTGGACACCAGTTATTCGACCTCAAACTCACTGATCGCGTCAACATGCGTATGGTTGGCGTTCCTGAAATGAGTTTAGATCACTGGGCAAATCAGTTTGTCGCCAAGGGGTTCAAGATTGCTCGCGTCGACCAGATAGAGTCCGCCCTCGGCAAGGAAATGCGCGAGAGGGATGGCAAGAAAGGGGGCAAAGAAGACAAGGTCATCAGGAGAGAGCTGTCTTCTGTCCTTACTGCTGGAACACTGGTTGAGGGCTCAATGCTGCAGGATGATATGTCAACTTACTGTGTTGCTATCAAGGAAGCCATCATAGAGGATTCCCCTGCGTTTGGCCTAGCTTTTGTTGACACAGCGACGGGCCAATTCTTCTTGTCAGAGTTCGTCGATGATGCCGACATGACAAAGTTTGAAACATTCGTGGCCCAGACTCGCCCGCAAGAACTACTTCTCGAAAAGTCTACAATTTCACAGAAGGCACTCCGCATTTTGAAGAACAATACAGGCCCCACTACCCTTTGGAACCATTTGAAGCCAGGGAAAGAGTTCTGGGAAGCGGACATTGCGGTGAAGGAATTAGATGTCAGCGAGTACTTTGTTTCCGAGGACGATGACAACCTGAAGGTGTGGCCGGAAGCTCTTCGAGCTGCTCGTGATAAAGAACTAGTGATGTCGGCCTTTGGGGCGTTGGTACAATATCTCCGGCTTTTGAAACTCGACCGTGACTTGATAACAATCGGTAACTTCTCCTCGTACGACCCAATCAAGAAGGCTTCTAGCCTAGTGTTGGATGGCCAAACCCTTATCAACATGGAAATCTTTGCAAACTCATTTGATGGAGGTTCTGATGGAACGCTATTCCAGCTTTTGAATCGCTGCATCACGCCATTTGGAAAACGCATGTTCAAACAGTGGGTTTGCCACCCGCTGATCGATGCGAAGAAGATCAATGCCAGATTGGATGCTGTTGATGCCCTTAATGCGGATCCTAGCATTCGGGATCAGTTTTCTTCACAGTTAACCAAAATGCCTGATTTGGAACGACTGATCTCCCGAATTCATGCTGTCAATTGCAAGGCCCAGGACTTCCTGCGCGTGCTGGAGGGTTTCGAGCAAATTGAATACACCGTGAGTCTTCTTAAGGACAGTGGTTCCGGAGAAGGCGTTATTGGTCAGTTGATAAGTGCGATGCCGGACCTCAATGAGTTGCTTGAATACTGGAAAACAGCGTTCGACCGCACCAAAGCAAGAGAGAATGGTATACTAGTACCAAAACGAGGCATTGAAGAAGACTTCGACAACTCCCAAGACCACATCGAAGAACTCCACAACGAGCTTGATAGTCTTCTGAAGCGAGTTCGTCGCGAGTTAGGCTCTACTGCCATCTGCTACCGTGACAATGGCAAGGAGATCTACCAGTTGGAGGTGCCGATCAAGGTAAAGAACATTCCCAAGAACTGGGACCAGATGTCAGCAACCAAACAAGTGAAACGGTATTATTTCCCAGAGCTTCGGACAATTATCCGTAAGTTACAGGAAGCCCAAGAGACACATAGTCAGATTGTGAAAGAAGTCGCTAGCCGATTCTATGCCCGATTTGACGAACATTATGTAACGTGGCTGGCAGCGGTCAAGATTATCTCTCAGCTGGACTGTTTGATAAGTCTTGCAAAGGCTTCCTCATCTCTGGGACAACCAAGTTGCCGCCCTGTCTTTGTTGAGGATGAGCGAAGTGTACTCGAATTCGAGGAACTACGCCATCCGTGCCTCCTCTCCGCTGTGGAAGACTTCATACCGAATGACGTCAAATTGGGAGGTGACCGTGCTAACATTGATCTTCTCACTGGTGCTAATGCTGCCGGAAAATCTACCGTCCTTCGAATGGTACGTCCTTTTTTTCTGATTTCCGTTGCAATTCGCTAACTCATTGCCTTGTAGACGTGTGTTGCAGTCATCATGGCTCAGATCGGTTGCTACTTGCCTTGCCAATCTGCACGATTGACCCCTGTCGACCGCATCATGTCCCGTCTAGGCGCGAATGACAATATCTTCGCCGCCCAGTCGACGTTTTTCGTAGAGCTTTCCGAAACAAAGAAGATTCTCTCCGAGGCTACTCCCCGATCTTTGGTTATCCTCGATGAATTGGGTCGTGGAACCAGCTCATATGATGGAGTAGCCGTGGCCCAAGCCGTACTGCACCATGTTGCTACGCACATCGGAGCCTTGGGCTTCTTCGCGACCCACTACCACTCCCTGGCGGCCGAGTTTGAAGGACACCCTGAAATCACACCGAAACGCATGAAGATCCATGTAGACGACGAGGAGCGACGTGTTACGTTCCTGTATAAACTCGAAGACGGCGTTGCCGAAGGTAGTTTCGGTATGCATTGTGCCGCCATGTGCGGTATTTCCAGCAAGGTCATCGAGAGAGCGGAGGTCGCCGCAAAGCAATGGGAACACACTAGTCGTCTCAAAGAGAGTCTTGAACGCCGAAAAGGTGGTGGTTTCATTGGGTTGGGTTGGTGGAGCGATGTCGCCTGGGCCCTGCGCGAATCATCCGACGTCAATGAGCATGAAATCACCGATAGAGGCCTGGACGTACTTCTTAAGGCTATTGAAGCTCTGTGATTACCTTTGCTACGTTATACTCTGGATGTTTCTTCACTCATTCGGTGTTTGATTAAGTCTGCCACGTCATTTTCTTTATAAAAGGGGTCTTTGCTCGGAGTTTGGGGATGTGTTAATATGTGTTGATCGGGATCTTAATTGATTAATCTGTGGCTGGCGTGGTTATATAGGGAATATTAAATTCAAGACGACGTCTTTCTGTCATTTACAATGGCCTTTGAGTATACCTGCTGACAGGGACGACTGTCTCTTTTCTTCTTTGTTCCTAATCGTGAAACATTTCTCATTACAATTCGACCACCGAACACAGATTCCTTATCACATAAAAATCGCTGATTCTCGAGTTACACTTTGAGTACCCATAGCACTGAACGATAAGAGCGGAGCTTTCTTGTTTTTTGAGTTTATGTACTATGTAACACAGTGTTAGATAGACCACCAGATACCGGACCCTTAGATCTTATTATCCTGGGCAACAACTCAAATTCTCGCTACCTATTCCACCGAATAGTTTCCAATTAGTGATAAGAAATGAAACAAAAGATTCCTAGATAACTCCACCGTCCGCTCTGAAACCCATCATAGCAAGAAACGATGATGACGACTTAAGCATCATCCTCCGCCTCAGCCTTGACACCAGCCTGGGCAGCCTCGTACATAGCGTCGAGCTGAGCATCAAGCTCCTCGTTGGTCATGGGGGTCTCATCCTCGGTCTTGCATTCGTCGTAGACATCCTCCGGTTCCTGCTTAATGGCCGTCATCTCCTCCTTGATCGAAACATCCTCTCCTTTGACAGAGTTATCCTCGGATTTAATGCTACCCTTGGTTTTGGCCATGGAGGAACTGGGCTCAGACTTAATGGTGTCTTCGCTGCTGCAATTGGTTTGGTCACTAGATTAGCAGTGTTCACTCTGATGTCTCGTGCGCAATAGGATAAGGGCATACTCATACGAGTCTTTCTTGATCACCTGTGCGATACCCTTCTTTGTGATACGCTGGCGCTTTGCTTTGGGAGCTGGTGCTGCTGCTGCTGCTTCTTCTTCTTCCGCGGGCTCCGAGTCGGCAGCCATTGGGGGTTCCGCGGTTGCGGCCTTCTTGGGGGGTCGGCCCCTCTTGGGGGCGTTGGCTGCGGAGCCCTCGGCGGAGGTGGGTGGTTCTGGCTTGTAGTCGCTCAGCTTGCGCTTTGCGTTTCGATACGTTGTACTAGCGGAGGCTGGGTTCTTGTACCCGCCGTACTGGGCTAGTTTGTCGAAATCGAGCTCGAGTTTATGTTAGTTTGGAGTTTTGGGTTTGAAGGGGGAGTGGGGTGTACATACTTTGTTACTTTCGTCGGTACAGAGGATGCTGAGGAGGAGGATCTTCTGCTCGGAGTTGGTGAGACCCAGGAGAGTGTCGGGCTTGGGTTTGTTGAACATGTTGGCTGTTCCAAAGTAGATGGCTAATGCTTGGGTACAGGTGGATGGTGAAGATAGGTGATGGAAGAAGACTAAGAGAAGAAGTGTAGAGTCGATGGAGCTGGGAGGAGGGAAAGTGAGAGGTAGTGAAGATTGACAGAGAGAGGAATTGGGAGATTGTAAAGTGAGGAGAGAAAAGACTACCAATGAGGAACACAGGGAAAAGGGAAACACTGCCCGCGTGAAAGGAACAGAGAAAGTAACAGCGAAAATGGTTGGAATATTTCTTGAGGGAGTGTAGTAAGAGTAAATTGTTAGAAGTGAATGCGAAGAGTTATTCGTTAAGGAGAGCAGAAGTAGTGAATTGTTCAGCCACCACTCTAACCTTAGCGATCCATGAGCTTTATGTTACAGTCATATAAACGGAGGATATTTCCTGGATTTTCATTTCTTTGGTGAGGGATTCTTTTGGATCTGCTTGTATACATGCTCCCACAATTCGGGATAGAATGTCGTTGATTCTCTGCCAGGCTGACTCTTCTCTGCTGCGTAGAATTGCCGTAGAGTCTTTCCTGCCCACCAGGGCAGAGGAGCAGGATTCTTGTTGCGAAAGCTCACAGGACGGAGGATGGCCTTGTCAGGAACCAAGTCCCCCAGTCGCACCTCGGTCTGTCGAGGAATAGTCGTGAACTTCATAGTGTTAATGTATAGTGTGGCTGTTGGAGGCAGGTTCTTCGCATATTGAATCGTCTGTTCCTTTGAACGCCGAGCAAAAGCGGGGAGAGCGAGGTGCACGAAGTTCACGAATGGAGCAGATGTATAGGAAACGAAAAGCATCGGGAGAGCTCCGCCAACAACAACTGCACAAACGTGTTTAGCTAACGAACCGTCAGGGTAGACAGTCAATCTTACCAGCAGGAGCTAGATACCAAGGAAACTCATCGGATGCAAATGCCGGTGCGACAACCAGAACCGAAACACCAAAAAGGAAGATGGTCGTGATCCGCAACATCCCCAGAAAGATTGTCTTGCCCGTTCCGCCATGGTAGATCAATATGCGCTCAGGGGGACCTGCAACACTCCGTCAGGACCAATGTTCCGGTTTCAAGTTACCACAAAAAGCGTACCTCGTCGAATAGTTGTCTTTGCGTGTGCCGTGGCCGACTGTGGTGAGCTCCGGCCAGCTGTCGCATTGCTTTCCTTCGGTTTCAGAGCTGGGGTCTCATTTTTGGAGAGTCGAAATGGCGTTTGAGTCGTCTTCAGCCGAGAGAATATGGTGCTGTTGAGATCTCTCCGCACACCACGGGGAAGCAACGTGCGCAATTGCGGATGCAATAAGATCTGAGGCCGCATCCTGGGCAATTGCATTGGTCGAGAAGAGTTGCAGTAGCTTGTCGCATTCGAAAATGACGGAATGCGGATGATCTCCGGAACGTGACCCGCGACGGTCTTGGCGCCGATCAGCTCTTGTTGTTGACAACCGGCCAGCTTTCTGTCAACTTTAAACATCCCTTGTTTGAAAGCTGTCATTTATGCTCGCTCCTTTGTTGGAGGTCTGTTCGAGTTCGGGCTTATCCGCGGTCGTCGCTTGAACAGGGATCGTGCTCCTTGTTAGCATTTGGACCTCACCATGTCTTCTGTTAACGGTGGTCTTTTCCGCCCTTTGCTTTCGATAGGCATTGCCCTCTTGTACTTCTTGCTTGCTGGCCAAGCCTACGAGGAAATCTCCGATAACACACTGAATGCCCTTCCACGTCCGAACAATGACTTCGACATTCATAATGGAGCACTATTGGCGCCTATCCTAAGGCCTCGAGTCTCCGGGACGGCGGGCTCTGCAGCCGTCCTCCAGCACTTTGCGGACTTCTTCCGCACGACCCTGCCAAGCTGGAATATCCAATTCCAGAACTCCACGTCGACAACGCCCGTATCGAAAGGAAAGGAGGTTCCCTTCGTAAATCTCATTGCGTCTCGGGACCCTCCGTGGGCAGCTCCGGGCGACGTTGGAAGGCTTACACTTGTCGCGCATTATGATAGTAAATACTCGCCGGAGGGTTTCATCGGGGCAATTGACAGCGCCGCCCCTTGCGCTATGCTTATGCATTCCATGAGGAGCATCGATGCGGCCTTGACAAAGAAATGGGAAAAGATGCAAGCAGAGGGCAACACCGACTCATCGTTGGAGGAGCAAAAGGGCATCCAGGTCATTTTCTTGGATGGAGAGGAAGCATTCAAAGTATGGACCGCAACGGATTCGTTGTACGGGGCGCGTTCGCTCGCTGAGCATTGGGATTCAGAGGTAAACCCTGCTATGTCGACGTACAAGACTTCTCTGTCTTCTATATCTCTGTTCGTTCTTTTGGATCTCCTCGGCTCTAAGAGTCCAACTATCCAGTCCTACTTCTCATCTACACATTGGGCATATAAGAAGCTTGCTCAACTGGAGAAGCGATTTCGAGACCTCAAGCAATTCAAGTCCTCTGTTGATGCATCTCACCCAGCATGGTTCATTGATATGTCGAAGTCAGAGCATGACATTACCACATTCCTCGGCATACAGGATGACCATTTACCGTTCCTGGAACGTGGTGTTGAAATTCTACATGTCATCGACGCTCATCCCGCCAAAGGATTCCCAGTGGTGTGGCACAATGAGAAGGGCGTACCGGACGATGGCGAACATCTGGATCTAGCTACCGTGGAAGACTGGAGCCTGCTGATTACAGCATTTGCGGCCGAGTGGATGGAATTGGAGGGTTTCATGCCCCAACCCAATGATGGAGCGCCGCCCGCAAAGAACGTTGACCGTTTGAACAAGAAAACTGAGCTGTAAGATATACCAAAATTAATTCCAAGTGGTTTTATATACTGCCTCCGAGGCCCTAATATGTACAGTCTATGTTACATATGTTGCGCTTCTAGCTCTATATCATGATGAAACGTGCTGATGTTCGTGTCGCATAGCTCTTAATGGCGACTTTCCTGCAACGATCCTTTCGCCCGGTCTTCGGTGGATCAACGGGGCACGCTTTTCACCAACACCTGTAGAAATTCTTAACAAATGGGAACAGCTTCATGCCATCTATACCAGGTTTCCTAGCATGTACCCAGTCATTTCGACGAGGCCCCATGCCGGCTGCAGGGCTGCCCGAAGCACCGCGGGACCCGGGCACACTCCCCGTAACCCCCAAGCAACCCCAAAGGCTGCTGCACCGGCGACAAATCTCCAATCAATGTCCGCCACAGTGGCTGTTGGGAGTCTCCAAACGTCTGCCAATGTGGGCGGTGTCGGTTTGTCACCCAGTCCGTTGGTTTTCTGTCCCGGCTTCGCGGTCAAAAAGGTAATGAGCGAGGGTCCGATTCCGAAGAGAATTATAAGAGCCAGCGAAGGATCGAAACGGGCTAAGTCGGTTGGAAAAGCGAAGAAACGCAAAACCTTTGCTGGGTTTGCCATTCCGGAGAAGAAGAGGCCCATGCCGAATTGCAGCCCTGCCAGATAAGAGAATAGTGTTCTCGATTTCTCTGATCTATCCAATTTCTGTGGCACAGTGAACCAGTTGGTGACGAATGTGAGGGCGGTAGTCCCGATCATGAATATGAGCTCCGCTGTTGACGGATATACGGGAGTATAACAGGGCACCCCAGACGGACAAGGAGGGATGTTCTGGCCTCCTGAGACCAGATTTGCCGTGAGCAGGGCGGATGTAAAGAAGATAGCCGTTGCGATGAAGGAGCGCGGCGACAGACGGGATAGACCACAGAGCATGTGGCCAGATGTACACCCTCGACCATTCTAGTGTGGGCTCTCTGTTAGCTTTTCTTCGGCATACACATTTAGATTTGCATGCATACATACCTTTGTCCCCCAACCCAACAAAAACCCTGTGGCGAGCGTAGATGCCACCGATGCCCAAGAATTCGGCCCCGGCGGATACAGCGGTATCAATGAAGGCACAAAGAGATAAATAGGGACAACGCTAGACAACAACCCAGCAATGATGGGAACATTGTCCCGGGTCGGACGCAAAACAGATCCTGACAAAAGCGACGAAATGCCAAAGACCGCGCCATTGTGAAGAAGAAGACCCGATGAACTCTGAAAGAGCAGCAAAGCGCCCAGGGACGTATGTACGGGTGTGAACATGGCAAAGATCACCAACAATGGTATTGTACGCTATCCAACTTTTTCAAGACAAACATATAAGATTTCACGGTAGATTACCACGCTATCCCAAGAATTGAATTCTAGAAATCCATTTTCGCACACATAGCACGACCTCCCAGGATAAAGTAAAAAAGGAAGATACCAGCAGACCGAGTAGAATCCCAACGAACAACAATCAATCGGGAACAAAGAATTTCACTTCTCTCACTCGGGGACCACTGCGATCCATCCCTCTACCCATTGCGTCAACCCTCCCTGTGGTCCCCGAGGGCCAGAGAAAGCAAAAAGGAAAAAAAGGGAAAAACCAAAAGTTTAACCGTAGTATTCCATAGATAATATCCCCCGTGGCGAGGGGAAAGAAATTCTAATACAAGAAGAAATTACTCAAAAGCCCAAGATCTCACGTCCTGGGACAACATAGTAATTACAAGCATCCCCCAGAAGTATAGAATATTGAACTAGTCCAACGGTAGTACTAGTAGTACTTTTGTTCCCGCCTGTGCAGGGGATCTTGTTCGAAGTTCTCAAAGGGGATAAGTCTCATATCCGCATTCGGTATCGGGTGGTCCCCGAACGGGCTTAGGAGAGTCGGCTTGATTCGGGCGAGAATCAATCGGCGACAAACATCGTACCCATTTGTGACGGCATTTCCTTGGTTCCGGCCAATGAGACCGGTTTCTTCTGGAATGGTTCGGTAACTTTGTATTGAACGCTGCGGATATCGAATCCGGGGTCGGCGATACCCACGGCGTTCTAGAAGGGCGTTTACCTACTACTAGTAACTACTAATACTCTGTAGTATGAGACTGGGTGTATCGGCCGGGATGAGGTCGCCGATGTGTGTGTATGTGTGTGTATGTGTGTGTGTGTGTTTTTTTTGTTCTGCGTGAATGTTGATTTGGTAGAGGGGGTGGCGGAGCCTTTCTTGTTCTTTACTGCTCATTTACCATTGCCTTGCATTTGGGTTGCCCTAATGCCAGGAGTGAAATTTAATTGTCCGCATATCTTAGCTGTGGAATTTGTGGATGCGGAGGGATACCCGAGTGGTGAGGTGTCTGCAGGTGGAATTGGTGTAGGAATGTGTCTGTGCTGTCATATTTGTGGGTCTGCATACCTGAATGAGTGGCTTGGAGAGCTAACAGTAAGTTATGTAGTATCTATTCCATGATATTTCGCACTTAAACGGTCCGGAGGTATATTCACTTACGTGCTATATGTATTTCTCTAGAATTCTTTCCGCTCATAGTCCGTCTAACAGAATTTCTGATAAACAGTCCAAATACATATAGGCTAGGAGTAGTAGTCCTATGGGCTTTTAAGCTGGTATGTATTGGTTGGCTTAGCACTTAATAACATTATAAAAAGAAAAGAAAAGAAAAGAAAAGAAAAGAAGGAAATGGCAACACAATAACGATAATAGTCATGATGGTGATGGAAAGGTGGAATTGTGAAAGGAGAGTCAGCCTGACACAGAAGGAAACACATTTTCTGTACATAAACCAGTTTCCGAGGAAGATGAAAATATTATGGATGATGTTCATCCAGTTTACCTCTGTATAATTTGTTAACATCCACATAAACATTGCTTCCCCTCATAGGCGTAACTTGATTGTAGTTGGAGACAGGGACGGCGCATACTGGTCCGCCCATTCCATGATGGAATTGACTAACGCTTCAACTTGCTCTGTTGTATTTTCAACGTGCATCATGACTCGAACCCGCTCCTTCGCCATAGGCACAACGGGATACCGCACTCCATGCGTGTGCATGCCGCGGTCTAGAAGCCATTTCTCGAGTCTATGGCTGTAACCTGGCTGTGTGATGAGTGGGATGATGGGTACAAGGAACGAAGAACCTTTCACAAAATGGTCGGTGGTGGGAATGCTCAGGATTCCGGACCTTCGAACATGTTCCCATTGGGGATGGTGGAAGAGGAGGTCGTAGAAGTGGTAAATCCGGTCTTGGAGTTGCTTTCGACGCTGATAATGCCAATGTGTATTAGCGTTGCAAAGCTTCAAAAGCTGTATGGAGAGGGTTACGCTTACCCAGTCACCCTCTTTACTACTCATGACAGTGACCGCAGCCTTGATGGTGGCAAAGAAAGTGAAGGCCGGGGCTGTGGTGAACATGAAGTTACGGGCATAGCTAACCAGATATCTTTTAATCAGACCGTTACAGAGAATAATACCTATGATTGGTTAGTCGAAGGTTGTTGGTACCGGCATAAAGATCCTAGGGGCAGGAAGCCTACCGCCACCGGCTCCAATGGCCTTGCCGAAGGTGTGTAACCTGACAGCAAACTCATGCTCTAGACCCAGCTGACACGCTAGACCAGCTCCACTTGGCCCGACAATACCATGGGAGTGTGCCTCGTCAAGGATCATGACAAGATTACCTTTCGGCAAGGCCCGTTTCGCTTCGTTTACGATCTCAGCCACGGGCGCCACATCCCCGTCCATGCTATAGATCGATTCAATCGTCACGAAGACGGTATTGAGCCCATCGGCAATTGCTGGCTCCAGTAGCTTGACTTCCTCGAGAACGTCATACAAGGAGTGTGGGTCGTTGTGCGCGAATGGTCGTATGATGTGTGCTTTTGAGGAACGCATGCCATCTCGCGTGCTGGCATGGATCTTTGCGTCGTGAATAATGGCATCTCCCGTCTGCGGAAGCGTCGCATGAATCGCAACGTTGCCCTCATATCCGGAGGGCAAAATCAAGCCCTCGTCTGCATTATAGAAGTGGGCCAAGTCCCGTTCGAGCTCGTCGATATATTGAGTGGTTCCGCCTAGGAGACGGCTGCCACCGGTCCCAATAGCAAAGTTGGGATTTCGTGCAAGCTCCCGGAGAAACTCCTCTCGTGTTGCTGCACTCCCACCAAGGGAAAGGGTGTTGTTCGAGCCGAAGTCAACACAACCAAGCTCGTCGGCTGGAGCTGTAAGCTTGAAGATCTGACCTTTTTGGCGGCTGGGGTCAAGTGCCGCCTCAAGGTTCTCGCGGTATGCAGACGGAAGGGCCATAGTGGGCTCGAAAACGTCTCTAATATGATGTGTCTCTAAAGGGAAAGAGATCGTCTTCGGGTAGAAAGAATGTGCCATAAACAGAACTGGAAGAAAAAAAATAATAATAGAAGAAACATGAAACGGGGAACGGACAGGCACCTGGCTATGCTTTATAGCTCCTTCAAAGGCCGCCACAGCTAGGATTGGATTGTGGCCTCGGTATGCATTGTTCTACAGAATTCCACGTACAGCTGGATTCACTTTCCAGCACCCACCCTGAAAACAAAGGTAATGTCCCTCATACGATAGCTCAGCGGAACTATGGCTCAGGAGGGCAATCCCTACCTTGCTCGAAGCACACTATAACTCATTGCCACATTTATTGGAGCAATCGAACAGTCCAGGTGAACGAGACCAAAGTTTAGTCCGGTCTTGTACCCCATCAGAGATGGGCACAAATCCCGGTACAAAGGGCCCACCAGCGTTGGGACATGCAAAACACATCTAGTGAAACCTTTTTCAGTCTTTCCATGACGCATTCGTCCAAGCCAGGCCACAGGAAACTTGGTTGGACCGGGGTCAAAGTGCGTGTCACTGGCAAAGTCGAAGTTTTTCGCGAATTCTGTACCGTCTTTGCCTCCACTGAGCAAGGAGCCAATAACTCTATCGTGGAGGCCACATGAAAAGCCAATACAGACCGTGTCAGCTTCCACTTTTGGAAGTCACTCGGTCATTGTGTGATGTCAAATGACCATTGTTGACAGTGCGCCGGGGGTACAGTGGGAATATACAAAAGTAAACCAGATAAAGCTGAAGCAACACAACAGTCATTGGTTAACCATACATCGTATACTGGTAGCATATGACCGTAGAAGCACATTATGGTTCATGAGATTTGGAGATCAGCATCCGGCGTTACATATCAAAGACATACACTGCCCCGTTGGCAGCGGCGATAGGCCACAGACAACTCTCCATTTTTGGGACCGAACCACTGACCTGGGATCCTATGCTATCATGTCTGGAGTGCGTTGAAAGAGGGTCCCCACCTGGTCCCCTGGTACAACGACTTATGCAGTTGAGGCCCTCTCGGCCATTGCGATTGTGGCCACCGAGCCGAGGAAAAATGAAAGGTGGATACAATCCCCGTGGGCGCTGACCCATCTCAGGTCCAGACTTCCTCTCCTAAACTGACCCTCCACTGAGAAGGGCTCCGCTCGTCCTGTCATACTACTGCCTCTGGATCCCAATACCTAGGTGGTAAGGTAACTAGCGCCAATTCCGCTCGGTGTCGCCGACAGGCTCGGCCGAATTGACGGGACGTTATTTCGGTGCAGGTAGTACCAATTGGCGTCGTCTCGATTGCCTTGTATGGGCTTAGAATCAGGACAACCAATAGGGGAAAACAATAGAATAAACCAATACATGGCCAATGATGACTCTCATGACGAGTCTACCCTTACCAGAGCAACAGGGTGCGGGGCCAGATCCCTAAGAATGCGAGGTCGTCTCTTTAGGATGACGTGAGAGTTTTGGTCCAAGATAGACTCATGCTTGTCGTTTCTGACTCGCGGACAATGGTCTGTGTTCAGGATGTAGTGACCAATCGACTACCTCGCGTTTGAGAGAGCCGCATTCAGTTACCTAACGATCCACGTCTGCTCTCCCAGGAATTTATCTGTCTCAGTTGAACGAATGAAGTAAAGATCACTGTACCAGGTGTCGCTAATGCGTAGTGTATACAATGCCGCTGGATATTAATTGAGCATTATCGTCTGTAAGAATTAATTAAGTACATGGAAAGCTCACCACGCCAAACTGTCTAAATCATATCAAAAGGAAGGATCTGCGTATGAGGATCGAGTGGATGACAGTCCACACTAGGCAGGACTGTAATTGGAAGATCCACACCCACTGTGTCTGGGATTTACACCGGGAATTAAAAGAAAAGAAAAAGGAGAAAAAACCCGAAAGAAGAAGACTAAGAGAGTAGGAAAGGTGATAATGCATCTCTCGGGGGAACTTTTGGTGGTTCCGAGGTGTAAGAAGACTATGGAAGAGAGACTATCATTTACCCAACAAGTAGCGAAAGTATATGCAGACCAAAGTTCCTGCCCTGCTACCATGTGTGAATATGGTTCTCTCATAGACTCCAGCGAACTCACGCGCCACCACCAATGCACTACTTTTCGAACCATACGCCATTGTGTCCCAAAGTTGGTAAGTCTTTGTTCAAAAGCACGGACAACACATTCTGAGTGGTGGTGCTAGTGAACACAAAAGGTATTTGAATTCGTTCTAATTCGCGACCCACCCAGGCAACAGAGACCCAGACATTGCGATCGCATCGGAGCTATCAAGCAGGTTTTCTTAGATCACGATGTATATGTCGGTTCATACTAGTAGGTATAAGGGGCTTCTGCTCAAAACCCAGCTCAAGAAGATGAGGTCGAATTGGATGAGTTTTCCGCTGGTTTAAGTTTCCAGAGACTTTTACTGACAGGTTTAAGACTGGGTGGTAACACAACCGAACCGTACCCAAACCATATCAAAACGTTGAGGCTATTCCTATCACACACACTCTCTCTCACACACAAAAGAAGGCAACGGAGAGGAAGTCTACCCAGTTGCCAATCAAGCCTGGGCACACTCCATAGAGAGGATCTCTCCAAGTGAATACGAGATTCTCGTCATCGATTTGTGAGAATTTCAGTTTGGAGGGCGCACAGACTTGCCCAAACATATAAGGCTGCGATCAGGTGGCAGATCACTGACTCGTAGCCATACTCCAAAACCATAATTCAACCTAGTCGCCTTGATAAAATAGTGTCTGGGTCCCACCTCACTCCAGTGATTGGGCAAATGCTAATGGGAGAACCATTTGTTTCACATCACCTGGGAAGAAAACTCTCTCGGGCTGCTTGTTCACTGCGCCGCATGCCATAATAGGAAGGCGGGTAATGGATGAATTGAACTATCAAGTTGGTCCAAGCGGGGAAGTTGATGTGATATCCCGACTTAGAAGTTCATATGTCTCGCCTGCTGTACACCTTTTTACTTGACTCAGCTGTTGTTTCGAGGCACTTGGTTATGTTTGTTGTAGAGTGAGCCACCATGATATCTACATGACGCAGGCTCCGCACCGGGATGACGAAATCATAGAACTACACGATCTCTTGTTCTGTTACGAGCAATCCACACTCACCAGGTATCACCAATGAGACATTAGGATAATAAAAATCAGAAACCGCTAGTATTGGACAATGGAACTCGATACAGTCCCTTTATAGTTTATGAATGAAGAGCTTAGCCCATCCACTACATCTGCGTTTCCTGGGAAATACGAAGGTGGGTCAACGATACATCTGGTCTATACAACTGGTATGTACAGTGTGGTATGTGAAACTATGCTTCTCATACATGTTTACTTTAGCAAAGTACTGCACCGCTAGCTATGGAAAGCTATTCTCATCTATCTGTAGTGTGTACGGACTCCACATATCTGACTTTGCAGCTCTCATTTCAAGCAATTTAGCATCCGGATGGGCTTGCGCGCATTACAGAGCGAAGATCATTATCCGTCGATGTGAAGCCTCAAAATATTATGCTCGGTAATCATTGGTAGAGTCTAACGATATAATATAACCTCTTTTTTTTTTTTTTTTTTTTTTTTGGATTTGTCCTGTAGTCGTTTTGTAGCTTAAACTGAAACACTTGGTGGCAATGTCTACTTGCTTCTAAAACGCTTACCTGTAAAACACCACATGGATATACCTATGCTAAGACATGCACCGAATGAGCTTCACATATTCTTGAATGTCTGACTGGTGTTTTTGTATCTTGCACTAAGAGAAAACCACTAGTCAGTGAGTTGCACTGCGCCGTTTCCTGACTGGGAATAGGACAGAAGTATGTAATCCTGGAGCGCTGTCAAAGTACAAAAGAAGGACATAAAGAAGCCATCTTTTCACGAAGCTGCCCACCAAGACGTATACTATGTGTAAGTGGGTCCTTATTCAACTAGTGCAAACACAACTCTTTGTCTCATACGGACTATTTCGTGGAAGGATCCAACTATGGGTGCCATCATTCTGGATGTCACTAATTCTAGACTGACCAACCTGAATAAGGGGTTTTCTGATTTGATAGCATGGTCTAGAGAGTTAATAGAAGAACTATCCGATCGCCGATGCACGTTTAAGCCAGCACTTCGATATAGGGGAGAAAACCCGCGAGAACCGAGAGTACTCAAATCCCGGCTCTCACGCTCTGGACCCAGTTAGCAAGCCGGTATAACTACCACAATATTTCTAGGTTGCTCATTGTGAGGCGGTGTGGAATCACTATTCATGTTAGTAGAAGTTCATATAAAGCGCCATGGTCACCATCGAAGTATATTCCAGATTGGGATAAGTTCTTAAAATGACTGAAGTTCTCCAATTGTTTATTCCCCTACCGCCAAGTATATCTCGTATTGCGCGTTCTCTGCTGCTTAAAGAATGTCTAGTTCGAACGTCGGTTGGGCTACTCCATTATCAATGCCAGATATTCAGATGGCTATACCGGCATCTCACACGTCCTAGAATATTGGTATTCATAGCAATTGCAATTGACATATCACTCTATCCAATACTCACACTCCATGCTGGTACAAAATGGGCCTGGATAGGCCATGTGGTATTGATCTCATATAGGTAGCCTTACTTACCGTTCTCGTCACTTAGGTTGCCGTTTGATACCTTTACCAGGGCCCTGTTTTTCATCATTTTCTGTTCTGCAAAAGCTAGAAAGGCAGCATCGGACACAATTGAAGGACGTTCTAGCTAGGCATTCCAATCAGATGGCGATCTTTTATATTTTCTTAAAAAAAAAAGAACAATAACAAATCTTCCAGATTGCTGCACTGCTTCACTTCTATAGGTTATACATTTGCGCAAGCTCAGACAAACACCGGCTTTCCGATAGTGTTTCTCTATGGGACCAAGACGAGGGCAGTAGCTGCGATGGCAGGGTTTCCAAAAAGAATGGACTGCCTCAGATATGGGCCTTTACGTTGGGTTAATTAAGACTTGTTTCTCGGCTTTTTATCGGGGATATTGTCATACAGGCGGAGCTCTTCCATAGCCGTAGCGGATCCTTCATCAACTACCTACGCCCGGCTCCACAAGAAATGCACAGGTAACGACGATATAACATACAAACTCACTGCTCGGGAAACATTTCCTGAAAAAGATTTACGTCCACCTGAATCTTTTGTAGCTCCGAATGATGGGTCACGAAATGGAAAATGGCACGTCGTGTTGTGAATGGCATTCAGAACTTGTAATGCTTGATGGTCAGGTGCTAATTACAAATGATGAAAGGCAACCATTCTATCACTAAAGTTGAGTCCTTCGAGAAGTTTAACTCATACGTATACATATACATATACATATACATATACATAGAGGGCTGCTTTGCCTTGAGCCGTGGTGATCCGCGCATCTAAAACCCTGCAGATAAGAATCTGACATGATCGCGGATACCATACACGCTGTAGAAGGCTCTATGAGTGACTTTGAAGAATTAACTTTAGTCACACCCACATATA